GCTATACATGTTTATTTAACTGCAGGTATCCATAGTAACAAAATGTATGCTTCTGATACTAAGTAAATAACTTAGTATAACTCTGATTATACACATTTAAGGCATCCTAAAGTGACTTGGCAGAAGAAGTGCCTCTAACAAGTCTGCCCATTATGCATTACTGCTTACTGGATACACTGGTTAATGGTTTCTGCTGAATAGTCCTTTACTTTTACTCTGACAGAAGAGATCATACTGTCTGATGTGAAAGAAATCATGAAACGTGTCCGTGAGAGAATACCTAACCAAGGCAACCAAAAGCTCAATAAATTCCTGAAGTAAGTATTACGTTTATAAGTTTTCCATATTCCATTTTCATATTACTCCCGGTTCAACTCCTGCCACTGCAAGAATTGATCTTCTTGGAAAGTAAATCCGATTTATGATTATTCATTCAAATTAACTGAATTTCATTCAGAATCTTGTTCTGCACAGTGCTGCACTAAACATGCCCTTAATCAGGTACAGTTCTTTGCATATTTGTTGATTGCATTATACTTATACATTATTACTGATCTAACATGTATTTGTTGATTCATGTACAGGTAAGCTAAGCTGGATATGTGAAAGATGGCATAAAGGTGCATTTCTTCTTGGAGAACACCTGTATTTAAACCTACAATAATGTATTTTTTGGCCACTTCACCACACTTGGGGGCAGCGGGAACAAGATTCGAACACAACACTAAGTTGATATGCAAATGTATTAGCATGCTTTTGGTGTCATCTATCTCCTGAGGGAAACATTTGGCTCTTTAGCTGCTTAATGTCCCGTGTTCACCAACTAGTTGCTAGCTCTGTCTGCCATTTTGTGCTGGGCAGGTACTGCAGTGATTTTATTAGAGCTTTTATACTAAAATCAACTGCCTCCTGCATTGGAAACAAATCTTGAAAGTAGCGAGAGTGGCTCAAAAAAGTCAAGTTGTGGGGGCATGAAACCAAAACAATGAGCTGAAAGACAGTATAAAGCTCTGTAGAGCCGATGGAAACTGCAAAGTCTGGTGATGATTCTGTGTGGTTTCACCTCTGTGAGTGACGTCTTTCACATACATACATAGTCCTTGAGGCCATTTTTAATATTAAAATATTGATTCCTTTAGCAGTAATGTTTTTAGTAGGCATTTCATGGAGGATGTCTTCCTTATTTTGACACATTCATTTGACATACAATACTGTATATATTCTATATTTTCCAAATAAATCAATTAACTTATATTTAAATTCTTTGTACAACAGGGATAAAATTGGTGAGTTGGAGACAGACAAGAGGGAGACGGTCGGTGTCTTTGGTAAAACTGGGGCTGGAAAAAGCTCTCTGATAAATGCTGTCATTGGAGAGAAGAATCTCTTGCCCTCTGGAAGGGTCAGTGCATGTACCTCAGTCATGATTAAGGTTGAGGCTAACTTGCATAGCCCAATGTACGAGGCAGACATAGAGTTCATCACAAAAGAGGTGAAAATTTTAATATGTCTTCTTACTTGAAGCTAGTTGAAAAGTTATGATGTAACTGCAAAAATAATTTGCCGGTTACATTACATTTAACCATTTAATTAAACTTATGTTAAACATAATTACTATTTTATTTTTTAGGAGTGGAAAGATGAGTTGTTGTCCCTGCATAGTTTTCTTGAGGAAAATGCAGCTCAGGAAAATGAAGATGACGATGATTATCGTGACTTTGTTGAAAAGCTGTCGGCGCTGTATGGAGAAGAATGGAAAAACAAATCCCCTGAAAACCTCATGGATTACAAATATTTTAAAGAAATTCCAGAGTTTTACATATCCAGTAAGAAGAGATTGAAGTGTAAATCAGTAAGAATATATATTTTATATATCCCTTCATAGAAAGCATCTGAAAGAACTAAATGATAAAAATCTTGAATTATTTATGCAGTTTACATACCGCCTAGATCCAGTTTCAAGCTCAATAAATGTAAAAGTAAAATCAGTATATAAAGTATTTTGGTCTTGTTCACGAGTGAGGGGATAATGTAGTGTGAGATAGACGGATCAGGCTTTAATTCTGAAACATTTGCTGTATGTTTCTACAAAGGTTTGGCTAAGACATTAACACTCAGTGAACAAAATGTGACAATAGCATTTAAGATGAGTAATCTGGAACAACTCAGTGTCAATAACATGGGCCAGCCTTTATTTGTTTGTGGTAATCATGCCCCTGGCCATTATTTGAGACCTGGCTCTTATTTCATACTTAATTGATATGAACCTTCAAGGACACTTAATCATCAGAAAGGGCTGCTGGCCATCAAGGGTCAACACAAAACACAGAAAATCTATACTAATAATTACACTATTTGGATACACATACTTGCAAACACTGCACTGTCAAAACCTGACTGTGTTTAAATCTTTAAACCTAATTGTTCACTATGACCCACAATTTTACTTTTGTCTCCTCCTCTGTCTACAATTTATATTTGTTACTTTCAATGATAGTGTTTTGATTGCTCTTGTTGCATCTTATCCTGTTCTAATTCAATTAAGGTAAAGCAGTTTGAATGCACATATAAATAAAATCATTCAATAATTTTATTTTATTAATTATTGCAGGCAAAAGAGTTATCTGCAGAATTTGTCAGATACACAAGAAGTGACTCAACGGATGGAGAAGATAAAGACTTAAAGAGCTGGTACTGGCCACTAGTGAAGTGTGTGACTATCAGGGTGCCTAATAATGATCTTCTCAAGCATGTCACACTTGTGGATCTTCCTGGAAATGGGGACCGTAACAAGAGCAGAGATAAAATGTGGAAAGAGGTAATGAAATGCAGTTTGTGTATTACTGTGAGATCTGGAAACTGTAACATTATGTAATGATAATTATTCATAATTAACTTCATTATGCCCCTTCAGGTTGTTGGAAATTGTTCTACTGTGTGGATTGTGACTGACATTAATCGAGCAGCAGCAGAGAAAGAACCCTGGGAGATCCTGAAAAGTGCCTGTAGCCTGATGGGAAATGGTGGCCAATGTCAGCAGATTCACTTTATCTGCACCAAGTCTGATGTTATTGAAGATTCAGATGATCTGTAAGTGATTTAGGATTGAATACATAGTCACATAGTGTGTATGTAATCTTATATAAATATGTAAGAATATAGGAAAATGGAAACACTGTACAAATGGTAATATTATTCTATTGAATTATTACAGTCATTATCTACAGTCAAGATATTAAGTCAACCTGCTTTAAGATATCAAGAGACTCCTGCTCTAGATGGAAAAACTCAACTAACTAAACTGAAAAAGCTGTCTCTAAATTGTTTCTCTAATTTTCTCTAATAATTACAGCAGTGCCACTTAATACAAACCTTTTCTTATAGTTCAGCAGCTGATGTTCGTGCTCTCATATTAAAAGAAAACAGTAAAGCCAAGGACAAAGTGAGAGAAGAATTCAGTAAACTAAACAAGATTAAGGTGAGTTGTATAGACTGAAAGAACATTTTAGATTGTCTACACCTGCAAGCCTGCCTTACAATCATAACTTTTTTTTGTCAGACATATTTCAGTGATGAAAGTTTTCAAGTGTTCACAGTGAGCTCCAAAGAGTTTCTGAAAAAAAAACGTCTAAACGCAGACGACACTGGTAGGTGAAGTCTGTATATATGCATATTTGTTTATAATGGAAAGTGTATAGCTAAAATAAATATTTTCTTTTAGTTTACTTTAAACACTTTAAACAATCATGACTAATTGCATTGTCAGATATAAATTTAAGTATGTGTGAATATGTAAGAGACAAACAGCTTTCTTTTCAGAAATACCCAAACTTCAGAGTTTTCTGCAAAATCTCAATGACTCTCACTCAAAGACATTAAACTATGTGTCTGGAGCTTATGGGATTCTCTCTCTGATTCAAGGTGCCAGCTGTAGAGAAGTGGTAAGATCAAACTCCTTTCATTGTCTTTAGTTTTCTTAATTGTCATTAATGGACAGAAAATAATAATATTCATAGCAAATAAATAATCTTAAGAGAAACTCAAGTCAAATGTGCGGAAACCTGGTGAAGTCAAATTACAAGAGTATGTGTAATGTCACCCTACATAAAGACCTTCAAAGTAGTAGATTTCTTGATTTTTGAAGAAGGCTACATAACCACAGTAATTAAAGGGTGTTTGTACTCGATTGCAACAGAATTGATAAATTAACGAACAAACAATAAATGGGATGCGAACTTGAGGGTCTCTGGGAGGTCAGTTTTTGACTTCCCACATGCCTTAAGGTAAGAATAGCTTACAGTGGTGTTAGACCTTAATTGGCTTCAATGACAATATGTCAAGCCTGGGACTGTTATTATCTTGATACAGTTGAGTTATTTCGAATTAGTGTACACTAGCCATCACAATTAGCTAAACTCTAGGCGTTGTTAATGTTATTTCCAGGGATACTAACGTTAGCTGACGTACTTGTTATTCCAAATTCCACTTGTGTATACTGATAGTAGAGTTCTTGAACTACTCATTTAATGTTACTGAAGTTTGGCCAGCAATTACAACCTAAGTTGAGCTCCTCACTTGAAGTGCCAACTTAACGTTATTTTGTGGTGTAGACAATGAGTGGTGTAGTCAATGAGCTAATATGTACGTACTACCTACCTACACTTATGATGAATTTAAACAATGCTAGTTACAGTAGAATAATTATGTTTCTTGCGAATGCCAAGCTCAATGAAAACGACAGAAACAAAACAAAACAAAAACGAAAACTGAATTGAAATGACCTTGTGACAGTTTTACTTATAGTGTTTGTGGAATCAATTTGTAAACATCATATGTAAGCCCTGTCTTTTAATTGAGCAGTTGGAACCATAGTAGTAGCAAAAACCACATAAATTTTTTTTTACTAGCACAAGTAACATAAATGCTGCTTTGAAAGAAATCCCAATCAGGTAGTATTATAGTTTCATTGCTTCAAATACTTTTGTTGTGTTTGATTTTAGGCTAGTGGTAAACCTGAAGTGTGCACAGACCTTGAAGAACACATGAGGAAAGAGCTTGATAAAGTCAGAAAACCCATGGAGGAGGCTTATGAGGCTTTTGAAAAATGCCTTAGTCAGGGGGTTGAACAATCCAAGCTTTCATGTGAAAGTGTTGTGGAGTCTGTCTTATATCCTGTACGTATTTAAATTTTAATCAAAACAAATGATTTTGTACCTCAAATGAATACATGTTTAAAATGTTTCTTATTTGTTTTAGAGTGGGGTATCAGGTGGCGGTTTTCACAGGATATTGAAGTGTGTAGTTTTGAACAATGGCACATACAAACCAAAGAGCGGAACAGTAAAACAAATAAACCTCAATGTGGACTTGGCTTCATACTTGACTGACAGCATTGATGAGGAGTTCAGAAAGACCTTCCCGTAAGAAATGACTTAGTGGGGACATAAACCCTTTGTTGGTCCATTTTACAAACTATGAAGAAATTAATTCAATTAAAATCTACATTATACAGATAATGCAATATAATACATTCAAAATACATCCCATCCCATCCTCTCCAATACTACCTTTTATGAAACATTTCAACTTCACTTTTCAGAAACGAAAGAAAAAATGGACCATTGAACGGGGTCATCAATACGTTTTCACTTGAAACAGAGAGGCTGATTGAAAAGTACAAGGATGTCGAACTGCAACTGATATTTTTCAAGACAGAGGTAAAAGATAAAAATACTACCCTCCAATCCATTAGTCCATTATCATGCTGTTTGTGTTACCTTTAACTTTATTTTAAAATATAATGATCTATACTTTGTTTTCTCTCTCAAAGGAAGAAAAAATTAGGACAATACTCAACCAAATCATCCGGGAGCGTAAGAAAAAAATCTACAGCAGTCTGATGACAACAATCGAGAAAGCCATGCAAGAATGCTACAAAAGTAAGCAAGAGAATCATCATATATCATTTGACACTAATAACAACACAGATTAACTAATTCATTGTGATTATTTTTTGTTTTATTGTAGAAGCAGCAATATTTACAGGACCTGGCTCGCTGAAAAACATGAGGGACACTATTGAGAAGCATGTACATGATTCAAAGAACATCATGTTTCAGCAGGCTAAAGATAAAATGTTGAACCAGCTGCGATGGTTGAAGGTTTGTCACATTTTATAAAACTTCATATGATGATGATATAGGAAAACATGTTGTGCTGCACATCTTTATCCATAATACTAGATCACATGAAGGCTTTTTCTGTGGACTATACATCATTCTAAATGCTGAATTTGCTACTAAAAACACTGCAGGCACTGTCACAAACATAATTTATTCTTTCCTTTGCATGCATTAATTCGTGTACGATTCAGTTAATCTTGAATACAATATTTTGTTGTGTGAGTGATAATACAATTTTTTATGCTGAATTAGGAGGATATCCTGGAGAAACTGGAGACAACAATGCAGAAATCAATCAACCATTCACTCAAAACAGATGGGGACTCAATCCTAGGTAAAGGGAATGTGGCAAAATAAAATTATGACAATCACTAAAAATACAGTACAATATTTTATTAAAATAAACTAGTGCAGTGCCCGTATGTATTGCTATAGAAAAGTGGGAGGTTAGGTAGCTTTTTCATGGATGGCCAAATGAGGTTGTGTTTGAAGGTGGGACGTCAGGGACATTTAGGTTTGTTGTGAAATGTGTAGATTGATAACTATTGTGTTTTCATATAATTTGGCTTTTAGCAAGGACACTGCAGGGAGTTGAACCCCATTCCACTAATGTGAAAGTACCACACCTCGTGGTCAGCGCATATAAATTCTGAAAGAACAAAGTGAACTACATCTGAAATGGGATGAAACCTGGCAGCATAAACAGACTAACTTGTAGCATAGCCTACTAAATGAACTGGGCAGGACATATTATTTAGCCCTGTAATATAGGCTAGCATACATCAGAGAGAGAGAGAGAGAGAGAGAGAGAGAGAGAGAGAGAGAGAGAGAGAGGCAATGGCAGTAAGGGTTTCCACATCAAAAAATTGTTTTGAAACTACCAAAATAGTCTGAATGGATAACCCGACGGCGCGAGGGCGTGTCGGTCAGACAGTCTGATAACTGCACAGGTCTCTCACTCAACTTAATAAAGAGAAATGTCCCACATAGCAACGTTAGAGGACCAAACAACAGTAACGTAGTAACTGTAACTGTCTTTGGAAACTTATATGAAGAAAAGAAATACCACAGCTGTACCTACTTGGAGAAGCGTCTGTCCTCCTGTCTGTCCTCTCGCCTGTCCTACCGACTCTTCCGTTACATTTCTGCCCGAAAAACAGCCTCTGTCACCAGCGAAAAACTCACTTTTGTGTTTGTGATCAAAAATCACCACGACCATCAGCCCTCCGGACCGAGACATCAGTTTTCTTTCCACCGGAAAACATTCTCCGTCTTGCGAGTGAGGGAGTCAGACAGCGTCCAGTTTACTGCTGGGGATTATGTATAATTATGTAATTTAGAGTGAAAAACGTAACTTCGTCACTTTCCAGGATGTTTGGTGGGTTAGGATCTCAATCACTACACATTAGGGCTCTGCAGTGATTGGCTCTGGTGCGCACGTGGCTATGGTGGCTATGGTAATGCTAGCGGAATTCTAAATAATTTATAAAATAATTTATCAACTGTATCTTTGTAGTCCAAACAAAGCCAACGTTGCACACCCTTAAACCACACAGTAGTCATGTTGAAACTCTCAGGTCAGTCTGATCCTGATCTGCAGAGATATTTGAGCCACACACACACACACACACACACACACACACACACACACACACACACAGACAGACAGACAGACAGACAGAGATTCCTTGCTTTATAGATAGAAGATAGATAGATAAATTAGCAAATGAACAATAGTGTAATTAATTGTGCACTTGACAATAACACGTTTTTTCTTTTCTTTTCAAGATGTTACAGTGGAGCTTGCAGAGGTGAAGAAACACTACAATGAACTGATGGGATAATAAGATGTTCTGAGTAATGCTATCCATGCTTTTATTATACTGGCCCAGAAGCTAATCCACCCAGCCCAGCAATTGCACTGTGTCCATGAGTGCACAGGTACATTTTAGTAAAACTGATGATCTAACTGATGATTTAAACAGAAGCCAGCATAGATAATACTACTATTATACTTTTTATTATACTACTACTATAATACTACTGTTTGTCATCACTGTTCAATATCCCTATCTTGCTGATCTCTTTGGTGGATGTTTCAGGTGGAAGTCCTCTTTAAGTGTTGTTTGATATGTACTTTGAGTTTGCTGTGTGAACTGATGTCTCCTATACATTACTTTTGTAGCAATAATATTACATTATTTCTAGATTGAGCTTTTCCATATAATATATGTATTATTAATATTTATATATGTGTGTGTTGGGGGGGGAGGCACTGTCATTGAAGAAAATCTGTCAGCATAAAAGTAACTGAAAAAAGACTAACATGAAGAAAAAAATCAAACTTAAACTTAACTTCAAATATTGTCAATATTTTATGAAATTAACTTTTTTTTTGGGGGTTCTCAACTCAGTGCCAATACTTGTTTCAGTTGCAATAAATCATTGTTCAATACAAGTGTTTCAGTGCCAATGTTTCCTTATTCAGTTCTGGTTTTGTTTTCAATGATACATTTATTTTCACTGTTCTGAGGAAATAATTATCAATTATTAATTATTCTAAGTGTAATAAGGGTATGGGTGGTAATGACGAATGACCAATAACAAATGCATATCAGATTATGATATTGATTTACTTTGTCTTACTGAGACCTGGTTGTCCCACAAGGAGTATGTTAGCCTAAATTAATCCACCCCCCCAGTCTAAACTAAATTATAATTCATTTGAAAGCCTTGTTCTTAGTCTTTTTCACCCAAACTGGAAAACACTGCAGCCAGTTCTATTTGTTATAGTGTACCGTGCTCCTGGACCGTACTCTGATTTTATATCTGAATTCTCAGAGTTTTTATCAAGTTTAGTCCTTAAATCAGATAAAGTAATTATTGTAGGTGATTTTAATATTCATGTGGATGTTAACAATGACAGCCTTAGTAACACATTTATATCATTAATAGACTCAATTGGCTTCTGTCAGTGTAAATAAACCAACTCATTGTTTTAGTCACACTCTTGACCTTGTTCTATCATATGGCATTGATATTGAACATTTAATAGTCTTCCCACATAATCCTTTCATATCTGACCATTATTTAATAACTTTTGAATTCATACTATCAGATTATAAGCCATTAGGCAAAACTTCCTATAGCAGATGTCTATCTGACAGTGCTGTAGCTAAATTTAAGGAGGAGATTCCTTCAGTGTTTAGTTCAATGCCATGTCTGAATTTAACAGAATCCTATAACAACTTTAGTCCCTCTGAAATTGATAATCGTGTCGATAGTACTGCAGGCTCGCTATGATCAACATTAGACTCTATCGCTCCTATAAAAAGGAAATTATTAAAACATAGGAGACTAGCACCGTGGTACAACCACCCAACCCGCCAGTTAAAACAAATAGCTAGGAAATCTGAAAGGAAATGGCGCTCTTCCAAATTATCAGAATATCGCTCAATTTGGCAAGATAATCTTAAAACTTATAGAAAGGCCCTCCATAATGCCAGAGGAGCCTATTATTCAGCACTAATAGAAGAAAATAAGAATAACCCTAGGTTCCTCTTCAGCACTGTAGCCAGGCTGACAGAGAGCCACAGCTCTATTGAGCCACATATCCCCATAAACTTACGTAGCAATGACTTCATGAGCTTCTTTTATAATAAAATTATTACTATTAGAGAGAAAATTAATCACCAACTGCCATCAACAGTTATCAGTGGCTCTCCAAGTTCAGGGACTTTTACTAATGTAAACTTAGATATATATTTAGACTGTTTCTCTGCTATCGATCTTCATCAGTTAACTTCAATAATTTCTTCATCAAAGCCATCAACCTGTCTATTAGACCCGATCCCAACTAGGCTGCTTAAAGAAGTCGTTCCCTTAATTGGCACTTCTTTACTGGATATGATTAATCTTTCTTTATTATCAGGATATGTATCACAGTCCTTTAAAGTAGCTGTAATTAAACCCCTTCTTAAAAAGCCCACTCTTGACCCAGGGGTTTTAGCCAACTGTAGACCGATCTCTAACCTCCCCTTACTCTCTAAGATTCTGGAGAAAGTAGTCACCAAAGAGTTGTGTGACTTTCTACATAACAATAGTTTATTTGAGGATTTTCAGTCAGGATTTAGAGTTCATCATAGCACAGAGACAGCTCTGGTTAAAGTTAATAATGACCTTCTGATTGCTTCTGACAATGGACTTGTCTCTGTACTTGTATTATTAGATCTTAGTGCTGCATTTGACACCATTGACCATGATATTCTTTTACAGAGACTTGAGCATCAAATTGGCATTAAAGGAATCACTCTAAGCTGGTTTAAGTCATATTTATCAGATCGTTTGCAGTTTGTACATATTAACGATGAATCTTCAATAAATACTACAGTTAGTCATGGAGTTCCACAAGGTTCTGTACTTGGACCAATACTATTTACTTTATATATGCTCCCTTTAGGCAACATTATTAGGAATCACTCCATTAACTTTCACTGTTATGCAGATGATACGCAGTTATATCTATCGATTAAGCCCGATGAAATTAATCAATTATCTAAATTACAAACATGTCTTAAGGACATAAAATCCTGGATGAGCTGCAATTTTCTGATGTTAAACTCAGAAAAATACGAAATGCTTGTTCTTGGCCCCAAAAACCTTAGAGACTCACTGTCTAAAGATATAGTTACTCTAGATGGCATTACCTTGGCCTCTAGCACCACTGTCAGGAATCTTGGAGTTATCTTTGATCAGGATTTGTCATTTAACTCCCATATAAAGCAGACCTCTAGGACTGCCTTCTTTCATTTACGTAATATTACAAAAATTAGACACATCCTATCACAGACAGATACAGAAGCTTGTGTCTTATTATTGTGGCTACCCTATGTTCACATTTTCATATGGTTTCAATAATATTTATTGTCACTTTTAACAGAGTGCACTTATATAGTAAACAGCCAGCAGTTTTACCATAAAAAAGCATTCCCAGTCAAATAAATTTAAGGCCTTTATTTCAGATTAAAGAAAACAGAAACCTCAGAATAAAATAAATTAAGTGCAAACAGAGCCTAATAACCCCCTTTCTTTTAAATTAAAGAGGTCCCAGCCTAAAGAACTGAAGGCCTACACTTCAAATAAAAAAAGTCGTAAAAGTGTCTCCTTTAGGAACAAATCAAGTGCAAACAGAGCATTGACTAAACATCTTTCTTTTTTTTTTTAAATTAGAGAGGTCCCAGCCTAAAAAAACTGAAGGCTTACTTTTCAAGTAAAATAGGTCAACATGTTCAAAAAACAATAAATAAAAAATGGCTGAGGATGCCCTAAGGAAGT